ACCTTACTAGAGATATGTTCTAACATAAATGATTGAGACAGCTAGCTTCCCTACATAGAACTCATTAATTAATCCTTGGCTGGATGAATGTCCACTAATTACTATCAAGGGATAAATGGATCTTTACTTTCTCTTTTGTAGTGCAATCAAAATGTGCATGTTTTTGTATAACTTTGTTACACCTGTACAAAGATTAATACTGAAAAAAAAAGGTTCCTGCATGATTATTAGATTTGAAGGGACTATCTACCAATTTTTTTTTTTTAATTCTTGATTTATTTTGAATTGATAATAGACTAAATGTTTCAATCTGAAATTCAGATGGAGAATGGGCATGCTGATTCCAAATACACTCAATATAATTAATTTTGATTATATTATACATGTGTACAATATCAATTAAGTTTATTATACAATGTCATAGTTTATTATACAGTTTTAAATTTGTATGAAGTTGCTTTTTCTCAAATTCATTAAATAAGTTAGGCTAGTCACTAAAACTATTTACGGCTCATTCCTTAGCCCATTTCCCATGAGACAGAAAGCTGCTTGATCTACCTGTTAGCTCCTTACACTTAACTAATTAATTTTTCTCTAATTTGACATGTGGATTTTTTTTGTTAAAAAAAAAAATTTCTTGACCAGTGCGTGATAATTATATTTTTTCTTATAAAGTAACATTTGTTATGGATTGCCGTAAAGTATTTAATGAATAAATATTTTTTCTTAATAAAACATGTTTTACATAGTGATACTGCAACAGTCTTATATTTTTGGGTTTGTGTAATTCAATAGAAAAGGTTTTTTATTTTATTAAACATAGTTGACAATAGCGTGATATGTTTTTTTTCTTACTTTGTTGAATTAAACATTTTTCAGAATTGAAGTATGCCTTCTTTGCTGGGCAGACAAAAACGGCTACTTAAAATGTATGGCCAGGAAATATGCCTTTTCGATGCAACATACAAAACTATTTAGTACATTATGCCCGACTTTTTTGTATGCGTGAACACGAACTTCGCTATTACACCTTTGGATAATTCATTACAGCAGATAAAACAAAAGCTTCTATCAAAAGAGTTCTGCAGTACACGTTTGAAGAAGTGGAATGCCAACAATGCCAAATTTTTCATGACTGACTTTGATGCATCAGAAATAGGTACTCGAAAGGAAATTCCCCAGGTATCAATAATTTTGGATTATAGAAGATTAAAAATCATGTTATTATTAAAGTGCCGATCAAAATCTGTTAAAATATTTTTCTTGGAAATATCTATCTGTAATTGGTTGACAAATCAACTTTTAGTTATTTTATGGTTTCGCGGGTCAAAGTCTTAATTCTATTGTCTATACCTATAAATAATGTTGTTAATTGTGGGGATGGGGGTTGTATTCTAAAAATGTAATTAAATGTTTTACAATGTGGCTTGTATAAACAACATGTATTTGAGTTGATTTTTAAAATGGTGAAGTTTATGGTTTCAGGTAACGTGTGAAATATGTGACCGTGAATTTCACAAATTCCACTTTGCTTAGGAGATCAAGTCGCTCTCACAGACTACTTCACATCCATGCAGAATGCTAGCATTATTTGGGGATATGATGAATATTCCGGATACAAACCATATTTATGTATTTCATATAATGATTCATTCACACGTAAAAAAACATTTCAGATAGCTCCTGACAAAAAGTTCAAATATTTTTTTGTAGATTGTTTTACACATTTTAAAGGTTCATTTTTTTCCCCTTTTTCATATTTTCATATTAAGATTTATTGGTTTAACAGTAAAGTCGTTTATTTAAGTATGAATCCGAATTATATGCTTTTTCCGGAATTAACTTTTCTTTCCGAAAAATCTACGTAAATCAGTTCTAATAATAGTGTACCGAGACTTCTTTTTCCCTTAATTCAGCAACTGCAGAAACTGACGCTTAGCAGATAAGAAAAAAATCTTCCAAGTACAAAAAAAAACAGTCAAGCTAATAAAAAATATTGCCGACATAATGCCGAAAGTTAAAAAAAAAAATAGAAACGGATTGCCGAGAAAGGGGACATATGACCGAAGTTGAAAGAGGACAAGAGACGAACTTCCAGTCAAGCTGAGGGAAAACACTGTCAGGGACTGTGAAGGAGGCCCAGGGCATTTTGACCCCAAGCGTGGAATCTCCGCAGACCCCAACTGATCAAGAACAGGACAAAGAATCGGGTACGGTTGAAACCCTTGGAATATTAAATGAACATTCAAAGGTTCCAAAGATTGTTGTGAGCTATGAAAACCCGTTAGATTGATTGATTGTATATTGTTTAACGTCCCTCTCGAGAATTTTTCACTCATATGGAGACGTAAAAGGGTTAAATGTTTCACAAGAAGTAAAAAACAAAATTATCAACGGTCAATATGTAGACCTGGCAAAGATGTTAGTAAACGCAATTGATATTCAAAAATAAGCTATTGTCATACCTTTTAAAAATTTAGATATTCAAAAACAAGCTATTGTCATACCTATTATAAATATAGATATTCAAAAACAAGCTTTTGTCATACCTAGTAAAAAAAAAGTAAGAAACATTTTTTCAGCCAAACTGTTGATGTACTGAAGCCCTTTAAGGATACTCTTCAGATCAGTAAGAAAGAAACAAAAACAGAACTTCGGATTTTTTTTAAGCTGTGTTGCAATAAAATAATGTGTTTCAAATATGGTTTACATATCTAATTTGATTTAAATGTTTATTTCACATCAAAAAATCCTTATTCATATAGTTTTTAGGTTACCCGAGTAACTCGGGTGACTTATTGCCATCTGTTTTCGTCCGTCGTCGTGTGACCTGTGTGAACAGTTGAACAATGTCAGCTTCTTCTCTGAATCTGAACCAATTTTAACCAAATTTGGTATACCGCATCTATTTGTGAAGGGAACAAAAAATTTAATTTTGCATCCCCCAGAGACTTGAGGATGGGGCCAAAACCACTAAATAAATGCAATTTTCTTCTTTACTTATGGCCATTAAACAGTCAAACTGTGGGTATCATTGTAATAACCATTGAGTACTCTACCAAAATTATGAAATTCATGCCCCAAGGTCAGGGGTTCTAGTGCTAGGGTGGGGCTAATTATATTTTTTAGCGAAAACGCATTATTTCTTTAAAAATCTTCTCTGCTCCAGGGTATTAAATAAACGAAGTACATGGTTATGAAAAGCAAGACTGTATCTTCCAAAATTGTGAATTTTAAGGATATCTGATCCTCACCCAGGATAGATAGCTCTTTAATTTATGATTTAATTTCAAAAGTCTTAAAATAAAGCTTGAAATTGAAATTTTTTCATGCAACAATTTTCATTTTATGCCTTTACGTATGATTCAATGTTCTTTAAAGTTTTAACAAACGTTATTAAAAAAGTTGACATTTGAACCTCATAAAACTAAGTAAAACTTGCATATTAAGAAAAAAATCAAAATTCTTTAACTTCTTTCAATTTAGCCTTAGTTACCAATGTTTATAAGCATGATTTGAAATTAGAAGTGATTTACGGTGTTTACTTTGAAAGGAAACAGCTCATACACTATGCATTATGAAGCGATGGAAGTAGGTAAGAAAGTAAAGTACCGAATAAGTATAAAAATCATGCAATTTTCTTTAAAAACCTGGATACCTATGATTTTTATTCCTAAAATGTATTTTTTGATCAATAATCAATTAGAAAATATGCAGTAGGTAGATCTAGATCGCATTTCGGTAAAAAATATTTGAGATTTACTAATTTTCCTTATATAATATCATAAAATTTAAAGATGAAGTTTAAAGAAACACCGTGGGTAAATACATTTTACTTTGAGAATTTAGAGACATCTCCGTGAACATTTTCAATTAATCAATGCCTGATTTTTAGAACCTGAGGATCGGATAACCTTAAGGCTCCAGGGTCATGGTGTTAGGAATGAGGCTCAATTGATTACATAGTTATAATTATGAACTAATTCTTAGAAAATCTTTTCTGCTTATGGGTATGAAATAAACTGAGTACATAGTTGTGATGAGAATGAATGCCTTTTCCAAAATTGTGAAATTGAAGGCCCCAGGGTCAGTTGGTCCAGTGTTATGGTGGGGCTCTATTGATTATACAGTGAAAAAAAACATTAATTCTTTGAGAGTCTTCTCTGCTCATGGGTATTAAATAAACTATGTACATTAAATCATAGAAAATGTTCTTTGTTCATTGGTACTACGCAGATGAACTTCCTATATATCTATAATGAACGAAGGACCTTCTTCCAGAATTGTGAATTTCAAGGTCCTTCGGTCAAGGATACCATAGAGGGGGGACTCTACTTAATTAACTGTTCTAAGACTAATTTATTGATAATTGATACAGAATCAGTATGCGCATGTGCATCACATAGGGGATAGTGTCAAAGTCTTATATCAATATATCACAACATCCCCTCTTTTTTACAGAACACAAAATTCAAAATACAATTTATATAAAAAAAATTAGCAGTTATAGTTCAAACAATGTTCTGAATGATAGAAACAAATAATTGTCCACGGTTCATGGCTAAGCGAAACACTGTTTTGAGAAAAAAAATCATTAACATAACATATCTACAACTTTATACATATTTACAGTCTTGATGGAAAATATCTATTTGCACACATAATTGGGTGTTTAGGTGGCACTATTGTTCTTAAACTCCTGCGGACATTTGGCTGCGAAAACTGATGTTTCTCCTAAGGTTTTTCATTGTCTTTCACTGTCAGCTCATTCGTTTTGTCATGACTGTTGATGTCCTGGGGATCGTCCATATGTAAGTCTTCAGGAGGTGGAACTTCTCTGGATCAGCTCAAGTCCCTTCGGTTTCTCCGATACTGTACATCTATGTCCACTATGTATGAGCGCGGTAGTGTGTGTTTTTTAACACATTTTCCAAATTTCCATTTGTCGTCTCCGAGTCTGGTAGGTTTGACTCGATGGTAGTCACCTGAGCATAGTTCCGCTAGTGGTCTTGTTCCTTTGTCATAATACCGTTTCGACGTCTTTCTCTTGATCCTGATCTTGGTTTGTACATTTTTTTGAAATCGGGTTTAAGAAGCTGGTGTGCGATTGGAAGAGATGATCTTGTTCTTCTTGACATTAGCGGCTGAGCAGGACTACATCCCATGTCTTGAGTTCGGGTATTTCTCCAGTCTAATATGGCTCTCCAAAGGTCTTCCTTTTCCTTCATTGATTTTTTGATGATCCCTTTTGCTATTTTCACGGCAGATTCCGCTTTTCCATTTGACTGGTTGTGGTAGGGTGAACTGGTTGAATGTTCGAAATCCCATTCATTTGCAAAGTTCCTAAACGCGTCATTTGTAAATTGCGGCCCATTGTCGCTTATGACAGTGTTTGGAATCCCGTGGTGACTAAAGTGTTTCTTCAGACATTTGATGATGGTATCTGCTGAAGTAGATGAGAGTTCGTTGAGTTCCCAGAAGTCAGAGTAATAGTCGACTGTAATGAGATAATCCTTGTCTCCGATTGAGAATAGGTCAGTTCCTATTTTACTCCATGGTAGCTTTGGTATCGGATGTATCATTAAGGGTTCCTTGGTTTGTTTTGACTGGAATTCATTGCAGATGCTACACTGTTGTACATAATCTTTAATTTCACTGTTCATTGCTATCCAGTAGATAGAATCTCGGGCTTTACGAAGGGAAGCTTCAATACCTTGGTGACTAGAATGTGCTTTAGACATCATCTTGGATCTAAGTAGTTTTGGAATAATAATTCTGCAACCTTTGAAAACTAGGCCGTTCTGAATAGTAATTTCTTCTCTGTAAGTCCAATACTCTTTTGCTTCTTTTGGCCTCTTCTTCAGAGTCTCCACATCCGAAAACAAGTATGTCATCGACTATGACATCTACTCCTTTGAGTCCATTGAGAGCATAATGTTGTCTTCGCTGATACTCTTCTGGTGCTGTAGATATTCCAAAGGGCATGCGGATCCGTCTGTACCTTCCAAATGGCGTCCAAAACGTCGTAAGGAAGCTTCTTTCCTTGTCTAGTTTTATTTGCCAAAATCCGTCTTTAGCATCAAGGACAGAAAATACCTTAGCCTTGCTGAGGCGTGGTAGGATTTCTTCGATGGTTGGCATTGGATAATGAGAGCGCTTCAGTGCTTTGTTTAGATCTTTGGGATCTATACATATTCTAAGCTTATTCGGTTTCTTCACTGCAACCATGCTGCTTATCCATTCTGTCGGCTGTGTCACTTTAGCGATGACACCCAGTTTCTCCAATTCCTGTATCTTATCCTTAAGTGCTCTTTTCAGAGGGGCGGCTACTCTCCGAGGTGAGTGTTGCAAAGGAGTGACGGATTTGTCAATTTCCAGGTGATACTCTCCTGGTAAACAACCTAGACCAGTGAAGACGTCTTTATACTCGGCCAGTATATATTCTTTTGTCAGCTCTTTGTGTTTTTCTTTTCCAGTCACTGAATGGACATTTTCACTCAGCTGTATGATTTTCATCTTATCACAAGCTTCTGCCGACAATAGAGGATATTGTTTGACATCAACAATTTGGAATTCTAGCTTATACTGCTTTCCATTTTGCTCACAATTCACTATTGCTTGACCAAGGGGTTTCATTCGGGATCCATCATAGAGAGTCAGTTTTGAATTACTCTTTTGCATTGGTGGATCTCCATATTGAGCAATGGCGCAAAAGTCCTTGTAGCTTATAAGGTTGCATGTTGAGCCGGTGTCTATTTGGCATTTCATTTCGGTTACGTTTTTCTGCTCTGCAAGTTTCATTTTCATGTTGACAAACCATTGTTTGCCTAAGGACTGTACTGACCCAATGCTGTGTGTAACCTTGAAAGCTGAATCTTCAGAATATGTGTCATCCTCAGAGTCGCTGTTGTCTTCGCCAACTAAATGCACTCGTCGTCTTCCAGGTTTTCTTTCTGAGGCTCTGTTGTCTGTTTTCTTCGAGTAGCTCCGTGATGTTTGTTTACAGACTTTTGCAAAATGGTTCATCTTGTCACACTTGCTGCATTTCTTTCCATATGCTGGGCATGCTGTTTTGTCTCTAGCGTGGTTACCTCCACAATATTTGCATTTCGAAGCATTTGGTTTTTTACTGTCAAATTTCCTTGGCTTTTCTGGCTTTCTTGAACTGTAGTGAACGTTTTCTTTTGTTCCTTCGGATTCTATTTTCTTGAGTTGCTGTTGTGCAACTTCACTGGCTCTGCACATGCTTATTGCTTTCTTGAGGTCTAGCTTTGGTTCTCTAAGCATCCTTGCTCTTGTTGGGTTGTCGTCGATTCCCAAGACTAACCTGTCTCTGATCATGTCATCTGTGAGGCTGCCAAACTCACATGAGTCAGCCAATTGTCTAAGCTTTGTAACATATTGATCTAATGTTTCTCCTTGCTTTTGCTCAGTTGTGTTAAAGATGTATCTCTCATAAATCACGTTTACTTGTGGTTCAAAGTGCTTCCGCATGGCTTCAAGTATTGTTTTTGTTTTCTTGCGGTCTTGTTCTGATATGTCGAGATGCCTGTAAATTCTGTAGCATTCTTTTCCCATAATGCTCAATAATGATGCAACTCTTATGGTGTCATCTTTCTTCGCAGAGCTGTGTAGCTACTTCATAGTTCTCCCATTGTGACTGAAAAAATTTCCAGTTGCTTTTGAGATCTCCCCTAACTTCCATTTTGTCTGGTACTGGGTAATTTGATGCTGCCATGTTTTGATCATTTGATTTCTATTTCCTCTCCTGCACGTGTGTATATTATCTCTGCAGTCAGAGTTGTTTTCCGTAATCTTTCTTGATAATCAGTATTTAGTATAAGAATCTTAAGTTTCAAGTCAGATAAAAATCAAGGCAAGTCAGGGATATCAAAGTTGTCCTACCACATTTATGAAGATGAATCCTTTGTTTGCAGTTCCCGCGTGTTTATCCTAGCATCACAAAAACATCACTGCATGTACTCACATTTATCAAACAGTCATTTAGGCTTTCACAAACGCCTCGCGTGTCGCTTGTCCTCACTAAATGTCTGTGTAGGATTTATGCTAACAAAATTAATCCCTTGCTATAATGCAATGTTTGCTGTGGAGTCTGCACTTCTGACACCATGTTCTAAGACTAATTTATTGATAATTGATTCAGAATCAGTATGCGCATGTGCATCACATAGGGGCTCCTTGGTATTAATCAAGCATTTGTGCTACTGTGGTTTCATCAATATTCATGGACATCAAATTTTGTGGATTTAGTCAAACTTAAGAGTGGTCAGGTCCTTTCCCTTTCAAAGGGGTCTGCAGATATAGCAGTAACGTGA